GTAACTTTGGTACAAGTGTATTTTAAAATTGTAAACCTAATAAATAATCCCCATTTTTACTAAATGTAATTGTAATTACGTCTTTTTTCGGATTACAGTTACCTTTTTTTATATCCTGATTACGTAACTCAGTTACATGTAATCTATTACTCCCCAAGCCAGTTTGAGAAACACAACTCCTTCTCCTGGAGCTGCGTTTCTTGTGTGGTTTGATGTTAACATACAGTAACTGTTTAGCCCAAAAATACTCTGTGCCCAGTCAAAGTCATTTACGGCGCTGTTATGCACATCCATGGCGGCATAGGGTGTTTATTTAAATTTATGGTGATATAAAGACTTGATATGTAGATTTATGTTGAGGTAGTACTTTTATGTCTAGCGCTCGTGATTGTGGCCTTGCAGAACAGAATTATATTCAGTTCTCTGACCGGTAATGCTATGATATTGATAATTAATTTTGACCTGCATTTGGTATCAAAATAACTAGAAATGTGTGTAGCAACTTTAAAGTCACAGGTCCATCTTTTAGAGTATGATAATCATATAGTAGTGTGTTTTTTATATGGTGTCTTTTTTTTGGTAAAAATAAAAAACAGGACATGAAAGCTGTGGAAGGCGATAGAAGCAGAGCGGGGAGACACAAAGACTGTGGGGAAATGAGATTCATTACAATTCTCTGTAGAAATGATGCCATTAATGGACGAGGCAGCGTCAGGGCTGATTTGTATCTGTTGAGGAGAGTCGGGGCCGGGGAGAGGCCCTTCAAATTACTAATCAAAGCCGGCCGAGAAGACTGACAGGTAGTCTCACTGGGTGTCTGCACAGAGCTCATTCGCTCCTATAAGTCACTGTGTGTGGAGTTGTAATAGGCCCAAATGAAGCTGGATATTTGCATCTCCTTTGATTTGGTAAAGGTCACTGCTGACAGGGATGTCCAGAGGGGGAAGACACACACACATGCACACACACAAGTTACTCTGATTGGAGACAATACTGTTACACCCTTTCCTCTCCCTGTCTTGTGTCTAAATCATCCAAATGGAGACGCTTAATTTCTCTCCTTTTCTTTTGTACTCTTTGTACTTTTCAGTTTCCAAATAGCATATAATAATAGTGTGTGTCAGGGGAGGTTGTGGGTGGTAGCCCTGTGCTCAGATTCAGGCCCTCTGGGCTCTGCTGCCCTCTTTGTCTTTGTTTTTCTAATTGGCAGACTGAGTGCAGACAAACAGTCAGAGGAACATTACTAATCATTCACCTAACCGACTCTAATAACTCCGCTGTCCCTCTCTGTCGCTTTGTCTCATTCCACAACATGTTCTTTTAGAGATCATAGGGGCCACATTTGAAAGCCAGACTTCTACCTCATTGAGCATTTCTGGTGAGAAATTTGTTGAAATAAAAAATTGAGACCTGTGGGAATCCAGAGGCATAATTTGATGTTCCATGTATTTTGAACCCCAATATTGAATTGGATTGGGTTTTGAACCCTGGTATTGTGGCTCAAACATATTCCAACTATGCTTTTATAAAAAAATAAAAATATGAGTTCATCCCAGTCTTTGCAACAGGATGCAGTTTACATGCACCAACCTTTACTCCAATAGAAGGGTAAATGCACTTAGCAAAACAATCAATGTCACAGTTGTTTTATGGATTATGTGTGCAGCCATTCTGCAAGTTTTGCCTGGTATTACCCCACAAGTGACAGACATACTAGCCAGTCAGTGATCAATATGGAGCTGGGTAACCCTCAACTTAAAGGTCATGCTGTACCAATTAATATCTCAATTAATAATTGCACAATGTCACTAAGAGGGAAGAAATATCACAAGTTGAAGTCATTTTAGCAGCTGAAAGTTAAAAGTCCACCTTCATTCAAACATGTCTTTCAGTTGGTGTTGCTTCATGGTGATATGTGCAGAGTTTGACATTAGAAAGCTGTTTTCTCATTCACCTGCTGAGAGGACAATGTTCTCTGTGCTCGCCTTGAATTTCAGTTTAAACCTGTATGTAGGAGCATAATTTGTGACATCACACAAGCATGATGTGGAAACTTTTCAGTGAAGTAGCAGACATATTGTGTCCAGCAGTGAAACCTTTGCAATGAATGTTTTTAAATTAACAAGGTCATTTATCTATAATGTGGAAAACTTATTTAACACAAATGACCAGAATATTCTTATGTCTTGAAACACCTTATCAAACCTGTACCAACTTTGCATAATGGCAGTTTCCTAAAGGTAAATGTTTGAAATTTGTGAGATGTAAACTTTATAAAAATTGTGTATAAATGAAAAGTTCAAGCTATGCACGACCTTTGCTTTTTAATATTTGTGGTTGCACCTTTTATCTTGATAATCCCACCTTCAATAGGCAGAGATCATACAGCAAGACATCAATAAATGGCACGCTGGATGCTCATGTTTGCCAACTATATACTGTTAGTGTTCTGTCACAATCAAAGAAAACCAAATGAAAAAAATATATAATGTTGCTTTTTCTATGTGTCTCTGGTGCTTAGGGGACATTTTTCTAAACCTCTGAACAGTCATCTGCTGTGGACAGAAAAGTGACAATACAACATATAGACATGGATGACAAATGCTCAATTAGTGTAAAAGTGACACTTTTCTATGTTGCACTTAAAATAGTCTGGATTTACATGAAACCTTAGCTTATGCAAAGAATTTTCTTCAGCCCTCAAAATATGATGCATAAACACTAAATGCAAGAACTGAGAATTCTACAACGACCACCTTTTGGTGCATAATGACCATGACGCGATGTGTCACCTCAAGCTCCCTTATTAGAGCAGCAGCCAACGTATGACCTTATATGTACTGTGCTGTGTTACTGCATGAGGGAGCAGACAACGACGGAGGGAGAGGTTTAAATTATTCTCCAGGCAAACACAATGGAGTCGGGGCAAACATTTCCCAACGTCACATCTCATATCAACAAATCAAAGCCCACAACCCCAAGGAGAGCTGTGAAGTCAGCAACATTTACTCTGGTCAAAACATGCAGGGCGCTAAATGTCTTTGACTCTAAACATTGTGTCAGTCTGTCAGATTCTCTGCTGTGTTGTTGTGTGGATGTGCCGTCAAATGGGTTCAGTCCTGCAGCATCAGAAACATCAGACTCACTCATTAGCTCTGTGCTGTGAACTCACAGCGTGGGCTGACAGGGTGTACATACGCACACACACACTTCGCACATATGAATACACACATAGGCCGTATGAGATAATAGATAAAAGGATTGACAGCCGACGCCTCAAAATCAAGCATTTACTGTAAGCCAATGCAAGAGAGATAAGAGAATAAACCTCACACACACACAAACATCACTATGATGTAGCATCGCCACAACAGTGCAAGTCATACCATCACATTCCCTACCAAACGTCTCTCTATATGTGTGTTTGCGCGTGATCACAAGCACACACGTGCACACCGCTGCACAAACATGACAGGACATACATACCCCACCCCACCCCCCCCCATCCAATGCCTCACCAGGTAATTAGTAATTACCTTTTCCAGCTCCCTGGAGTATAAACTCTTTATATTAGAATGTGGTCCAATGAGACCTGCACAAATGAGCGCACAAACACACACACACACACACACACACACACACACACACACACACACACACACACACACACACACACACACACACATGCTGCACCCTGAGAAAAACACAGACTGCCGTGCGCACTCGTGACCATATAAATGCAGATAAGCAATGCCTGAATTAACATATGTAATTGGTATTCATTAAAAGTCCCTTGCACGAGCAAAGGCATTATCAAACCGAGTCCAGTAGAATAATATCGTTGGAGTTTTACTGAGAAGTAAAATCAGCCCTTTGACTTATGTGACTTATTGCACACAATATTCACTAAATATTACAATATAGGCCTATTTAAAACCAATAGATCATTAAATCAGGTGAATTATGAGACACAGATGCACATTGAGACCATCAGAAGACTGACAGCTTGGGTGTTTTTACATTGCAACACTGTCTGAGCTTCAAGTGAACACAGATGGTAATAGTAGTGAATGACTGGAGGAAAAATCACCTCTAAACTTATTATTATTCATCAGGGTTTATCAGAAATGTGCTCTTAACAAGTGCCTGCATTACCACAGAGGCTACATATCATCTCCACTGTGGTCTCATTTGTTTACAGTCGTTTTCATTCATCGATTCTCATCCATCGATATACTGTAAAAACATGCAAATGTATCTCCCAGGACACTCACACAAACCCTTAGTACTGTAGAGCTACTGAATACATTATTCCACACACACAGGCACGCAGAGCCCCAGTCATGATGCGGTTGCATGACATTACACTCTATAAGTAGAGATCGATGGGCTGATGTTAGTGATCCATCTGCTTCCTGTTTGAAGTGTGCAGGCAGTTTGTCCCGGAGGAGCTGACCTTATAATCGCCTGACCCAAAGCCCTGCGCCCTGTCAGACCAGCTGAGAGATACATCTGTCAGGAGACACTAATGCTACTCTCTCTCTGTGTGTGTGTGTGTTTGTGTGTGTGTTTGTGTGTGTGTGTGTGTGTGTGTGTGTGTGTGTGTGTGTGTGTGTGTGTGTGTGTGTGTGTGTGTGTGTGCATATGCCACATGTTCTTAACACTGTTGCTTAGACCTACAGTATGCTGCTGATAAATTCATCTGTTTCTTTCTACAAAATCTGACCTTTCAGTTCCAGGTTCCAGCTCCAGGAGAAGCGAGAACATCTAAAGGTTTTTTTGGTGAAATCAATTATAACACCTTTGTGGCTCTCAGTTTTTCTAAAATGAGTTACAGTTAGAGTTTTCCCATTTCAGTTCACTGTTGTGAAGCCACGGTGCGGCAATAGGACAGCAGAGTTGTTAAAAATAGGACTTTTATGATAACTGCATCTCCAAAGGCGCATAAAGTAGAATTTACTGGCCCGAGCAGACAGTGGAATGTGCACGATGGTGGCTAACACTCAGAATAACCTTTGATCTTTACGCACACACGTTGAGACTCGGCTGTGTTAGTCACCTGTAAATGTCGGGATGCACAATCATCACTCATGCAATGAAAAAGAAATGCCAGGTACAACGAGTGCCCTGAGACGGTCACAGAGAGGCACTCACACACACTCTGGTCTTACCTGTGGCTGTAACTGAACAAAACAACAGAAAACATCTTACAACACTGACTCATGTGAGGTAGTATACTGGCATCCTTGTAAGTACTTTTATCACTGTATAACAGTATATTAATAAGGAGTTAATTCATAATATAAGGATTAAAGCTAACTCATAGTGTCGTTTTTTAAATTTTACTTTTTCTCTTCAGTTGTTAGTATTTCCCAAACCAAGCTGAATTTTTCTCTATACTTTTTCTATCCATAGCCTAATGATGAGATAATCAATGCTCATTCAAAACCAGCTCAGAAATTAATCAAATATATTTTTAAGTGTCCTTCTACACATTTGTGCATCCATACAGTCAGACATTTTGTCTTAAAAATATAATTTCCTAGATCTGGAACCGTATTCCAAGAAATAATTTCCATTTACCACCTTAAAAAAGTGACCCATGCTTGCTAAAACACAAGTTTACAGAGTTCTACCACCACGCTAGCAGCTTTGTGAGGCTGTAGTGTAAATGCTAATGACAGCATGCTAAGATGCTTGCCGTGACAATGTTAACATGCTGATGTTTAGCAGGTGTAATGTTGACCATGTTAACACTCACACAGTGAGCATTAGCACAGAACACAGCTGGGGCTGATAGGGATATGTTGTAGATCAATGGTCAGAAATCAAAGTAAGCTCTTGGACAAATTGAAACCTTGACCTGGTGATGGTGCTAGAGCCTATATGAAAAGTTAATGAGTCACCAAAATGATTACAATTTAATCTGAGGGCAACATGAAGGTCTGAACCGAATTGTATCACAATCCATCCGATAGTTATTGAGAAATTTCAGTCTGGACCAAAGTGGTGGAGTGACCAACCCTGCCATGCCACTAGCATGGCGAAAAAATACAAACATTTTGAAGTGACAGAATGTGTTTACATATATTAGCATAAGAAAACATTTATTATATAAAAGACAGAATGGCAGCACATTCCTTTCACATTTTATAGCAAAATTTGGCAAGCCTGTCACACGAGGTAATCTCTGGACTTTTTGTAATGTTACCCAGTAGCACAAGTTTTATTTACTGATTGTAAAAGTTTAAAGGTCATTCTGCCATCCCACCTCCTCCCTTTGATTTCCCTGGATCCCCTGAGAAGAGCAGCATCAAAGCCTCGCCTAGATCAACTCATTAAGGGGCTTCCCTCTGATCACAGCCCTGCACAGCTCTTCAGCTTCAAGTGGAGCACTCGCTCTCTCATGCAAACACACTGAAAACATTCAACACACACATACACATCATCCACGAAGACAGAGACAACCCGGCGTTCAAAAGCACCAATTTAGAATTGCCCGGTTTTAGCAAAAGACATGTTATCTGAAAATGCTTTTTAATAGAGGCAAGATGTAATCTTATCTCCGCTTCCTGTACCTCTGTTTTATATCTGCTTAGCTGTCATGTTTAAATTAATAAGACATATATGTATTTAAATGACTGTAGTTATCTGTATAGTCTCCTCTAGATGAGAAACACTTACACTTCAACTTATTTTAAGGTAACAAAAACATCACGATTCTTATTTCCAGGTGATTTTACACTAATTAATTCATACCTATGAATATTATATTCCATTTCTAGATTCTCCTAAATGTAACACACTGGACCTTTAAGGTTCATTTTTTAAAACTTTTTCTGGGGTTTTGTATCTCTTCAGGACCAAACTTTGTCTTCTGAATAATTCCATTGGATGTGAAGCTATGGAAAAAGCCAGTAAGTGGACCTTGAGATTTTATTATTTATTTTTTCATTTTACTGTACTTTTTTGTTGGTCCCAGTTTCTCTCAACCTTCCTTATTGACTTGACTTCAGTTAGTGATTAAAGCTACTCCCAGAATGCCAAATTATTTAAGTTTGGTAGTGAAATACTAATATGAGAGGTACGTAGAAGTGATAAACATAATAACAGAAAAATAACCTGTTCTATTACAAAAAAATGCTAAAGTTGTGTCTGATTCTTCCCTCATTATTCACAAATGTACACTGACACGCTGCAGTGCTGCATCGCCTCGTCTACAACAGTTTTCTGTCTGTATGATTGGTGCGAAGAAAGAAGCACTTTGTTTTCATAGACTGACACCAACATCTGACACTTGCTGTTGATGTTTCAGGTCACTGACACTTTCTCCTGCGTCACACTCCTGCCGGAAATATTGTGATGTTACACCATCTCTGTTTGTCCATGGATGAGGATGAAGTTTAACAAAAAGGAGCACAGACTGCAACGTACGCCACCAGTAGCTGATGTGAACATGTGTTTTAGGATTAAGATTTTTTCCATTAACACTTATCAGTGGAAGCACACAAAGCCAAAATATGAATATTCATAGACGCTGTGAAGTCATCAAATGAAATATTCAACACATTCGGGATATTCAAAGAGTCTCCTAATGAAGGGGGCAACATTGCTCTGGTAAATCAGAGACCTGCAGGCACTTTGTGAATCTAGTTCAAGATGAACATTAATTCATCAGGATTATTTAGAATTCATGTGGCGACAACAGCCCCTCTGCATTTAAACCGTACCGACACTCACAAACACACACACACACACACACACACACACACACACACACACACACAAACACGTCATCTTTATTTTCCTGTTTCTATTAAATGCTACACAATAACACACCATGCTTTCTCATTTGGACACCTTGACCTCCATTTTCGCGAAGGTGCTAAGTTGGTAAAAACAGGAATGCAAAAGCGACATTTTCATCGGACATTTTTTGCACTCTCCATTTAGGATGAGAAGGCAATTTGTGCGTGTAAACTGTGAACGCTGCCAGAGCTATTGTACGCTGCCACAAAACAAGACGGTGTTGTACGGAAAACATATTAAATAAATAGAAGTCAAAAGCATCTGCACACTCATCCTTTCTGCAGACAATTTATTTCTGAAGGTTTTTTCGGTCAAAGTGGCATCATCAATTATCTATCAGCACTCCTGACGTGATGGAAGATAACTGCAAACACTCAAGAATAGCAGCGCATTAGATAAAAATGTGCACACTTCCAAATGTTTCCTAGAAAGGTAATGTAATGCAACTGTAGGACTTCACCAAGAGAGACAAAACATAGAAATGTATAATGAAAGCCCCAAAAACGTGGTTTCTGACCTTAAATATTTCTCTGTAACAATAAATATATATGACTAAATAAACAACCATCAAAGTTAAAGTTGGGGATAAAACTTCATTCTTTATTAAAGGGGCACAAAGGGGAAGTTCAATGTACTGAGAAAAAATCTTCTTGGACTCAACCTGAGACAACAAATTTACAACAGAACTTGGGGTGCAGAGTTTGAAAGACACAGTCGGTTACCAGACAGGGGAGGGTCTAGTTAAAGACACTATCCAGTTGCATTGTAGGAAATGTAGGATCCAGTGTTTTTGAGCCACTGAAGTCAGTATGAGCCAAGCTAGCAGCTCTGTGAGGCTCTACTTCAGCACACAGTTATGCTTCAAGCTACTGTCAACCATAATAGTATGCTGATGTTTATGTTTACCATGTTCATCATATTAGTTCAGGTTGTTAGTATGTTAACATTCACCGATTAGCACTAAACGCAAAGTATAGCTGAGGCCGATGGAAATGTCATTAGTTACTACATACTGCACGTATTTGGTTAAAGTAGTTCATGGTAATCCATCGGTTATCATGTCATGGATCAAAGTGGTGCACTGACTGACATTGCCATCCGTAGAGCAGCATAGTGTGGCTAAATGCTAATAAAGAAACATAATTGGCATGAGATCGAGCAGAATGTCTTGAAAAGTTTGTTTATTGCCCATCAAGAACGTCACTAGAACATCAGAGAGACCCAAGACTTTCATATTCCATATTTGCATGTAATGTCATGAACACTACTAATTGATTGTCTGATTGATTGATAAGTTGTGCTGTACACTCTGAATTTCCCTTCATAAAAGAGTCTCCTCGGCATAAAATGGTAAAAAAAAAAAAGCTTCCCTTCATCACCACCTCACTTTCTGAACACCTCTAATTCCTACCTGTCGCCTCTCTGCTCCCACCATCCTCACCCCCAAACTCTCTCCTCACACTCTTTCTGTCTCCTGCTTCTTCCTTCCTCTAAACCCATCTCTCTCTCTTTGTGTGTCTCTCCTCTCTCATCTTTGGTCCTCAGCCAATCGTTTCTCCCCCACTGTTCCACCTCTCCCTCCCCCACTTCCTTCCTTTCTTTCCTCCTTTCTTTCTTTTCTTGTCGGCCTCCTCCCCACTGCCCTACATTTACTCTCTTCTTTTCATTCTCTCTATTACACTTTCCCTCGCTCCGTCTCTCTCGCTCTCACTGATATCCAGCACGCAATAGAGTGAAAATCAGAGGAAAGTGGAGGAAGTGTTGAGTTTGCTCCGGAATGACAAGACATAAAGGAGGGGATTTTGGGAGAGGCGATTAGCGGAAAGCAAAACAAAAAGCCCCTTGTCAATCTAGCTTATAATTCCATTAAAAATGTACATGTGGTCGTTTACTTTGAGAAAAGCTCTTATAATTGGCCCCAGCAGTGGCATTGGGAGTGTGTGTGTGTGTGTGTGTGTGTGTGTGTGTGTGTGTGTGTGTGTGTGAGGGGAAGGAAAATACAGTTTATGCACACATGAGCAGGTGTTTATCTGCACTTTGTAAATTTTTTCTATGTGCATGTTTACTGATTTTTGTCTTTGTGGATCTGGTGTGTGCATGCGTGTGTGTGTGTGTGTGTGTGTGTGTGTGTGTGTGTGTGTGTGTGTGTGTGTGTGTGTGTGTGTGTGTGTGTGTGTCCGTAGGCTGCATGCTTCAGGAGTGTGTGTCAGTCTCAGCTTTCGGTTTTGGCATCCCCTGTGCAGGTTGGGATTTAAACAAAAGAGGAGGCGAAGCTGGAGTTGGACCCTGCTGACACCTGAATCCTTCTGATGCAAACAGAGACTCACACACACACACACACACACACACACACACACACACACACACACACAGACACACACATACACACATACAAACACATACATACACAGAAATCTGCAAACAAGTGTGTTATCTATGCCCAAGGCGCAAGGGGAGGGCTGGGAAGACACGCTAAGAGACGGGAGAAGATGGCGAAGTGGGAGATGAGCAATTGGGAGGGGGAAGAAGAAGGCGTGTGTGTGTGTGTGTGTGTGTGTGTGTGTGTGTGTGTTTGTGTGTGATTGTGCAGGAAAAGCAGGAGACAGAGACAGACGGGGACGAAGAGAGCAATAAGTAGATGATGAGCAGGAGTGACCGCAGCAGATGTTGACTGTCCTCCATCTGCCACATAACTACATCCGACATACAGTAAAACACACACACACTGACATCACACACACACACACACACACACACACACACACACACACACACACACACAGGAATGGAAAGAGAGAGGGATATACAACAAAACAAAAAAAAATATTTTAAAAAAGTGACTCCAATCACTTAGTGACAGTCCACATTTCTGTTTTTCATCCACTTTTCATTTTTTCCCCATCTCTCTCCTCCCGGGCTTTTTTCCTCTGGGAATGATGAGAGATGCAGCTGGATATACTCCCCCCCCCCATTACACACATGCACAAACACTCTCTCCCTCTCCTCCCTCCTCTCTCTCTCTCTCTCTCTCTGTCTATCTGGCACCGAGGAGAGGTAAACAGGGGAGGAGATCTCATTTGGTTCCTGAACTGTTGCAGCACTCAGTGCTGCCACACACACTCTCTCTCTCATTCAATTTCTCTCATAGACACATACACACACACACACACACATATATATATATGCACACACACACACTCACACAGGGGTCTTGGCAGCAGAAGATCCCTAACAGTCCTGGATTGGTCTGGACTCACACCTGCCAGCACAGACTGAGCAGCGCTTAAAGAAGAAGAAGAAGAAGAAGAGAAGAAGAAGAAGAGGTGATACGGGAGGAGAAAAGAGGGCGAAGAGGATAAGACGAGCGTGTCGTTTTCTGTTTGTTGAATCCCCTGGATCGAGCCCCCAGCTGACGATGGAGAACACATGAGGAAGAGAGAGAGATCTGTGGGGACACATTCAGGGGAAAAATGCTGCTGAGTAAAGTTTGTGGATATTTCTAGAGGGAATTATTAGCCCTTGAACTTTGGGGAAGAATCACAGAGGAAGGTCGACTGTGTGCAGATTGCCAAGAGAAAAAGGTGAGAACGCTTTTAGAAAATTCTCAACGAGTCTTGTTTGTTATTTCGAAAGAAAAAAGGGGATAATGTCTTATTTTGAAGGTAAGAGCATGTTGTGCTATTTTTGATACTTTTCCATTTTAAGAGAGCAAATAATCTATTACAATCATTTCTCAGTAGGACAGCTTTCTGAACATTTGCTCTTTTCAGTCCAGAAAGTTGGATAATGATCACGTCTCACTGTATGTTACAGTCTCCAACAGTGATTCTGGCTGACCTGTTTGGAACGCCCTCTACCGCTCTTTTCAATATTGATTCCATAAGCATGTAAGATCAATAGATACATCATGTGTTTAATCAGTCTAGCTAAAATCAATGAGATTTCCAGGAACTGTCAGGAAACGTCTGCTTGCTTTTGATTGGTCTCATACATGGAGCTTTGCATCTCTGAAACTTTGTGATGACTATAATGGACGTTACATTTGGAAATAACTTCAACTTTGCTTTAATGAGTTTGAAAAAGTAAAGTAAGGCTTCTGAAAGTAATTGAATTTTTTTCCGTTTCCAATCGTCTCTGTTTCCTGTCCAAAACCAGCAGGTGAGACGTCGGGCAGACGGGCAGCAGCATGGCAGCCACCAACCATTCTTCCTGCCACCTTTTCCTCTTCTTCCTCCTCCCTTTCCTTGTAACTCAACCTGCCCTTACCCAGGACGCATCTGTCACCACGGTGACAGTAACTGAAGGTGACCAGTTCGTCGTCCCCACCACACTGGCCAACCAGACAACTCCCAGCTATGTGGAGACCACTCAGAACACTCCTGCAGAGACAGGTCTGTCCACTCCCACCAGTGGCGGAGACGCAGACGACGAGGACGTCCCCCCATCTGGCGGTACACGTTGCCAGGGTTACTACGATGTGATGGGCCAATGGGACCCACCGTTCAACTGCAACGCCGGCGTCTTTCTGTACTGCTGTGGTACCTGCTTCTATCGCTTCTGCTGCCAGTTCCGCCAGCAGCGGCTGGACCAGAGAATCTGCTCCAACTACGACACACCAATCTGGGCCAACACCGGCAAGCCTGTGGCCACCATCACCGAGGGCCAGGAGGACCAGGAACGGGACCGCACACACCTCATCGTCTACATCATCTGTGGAGTGGTGGCCATCATGGTGCTGGTGGGCATCTTCACCAAACTGGGCCTGGAGAAGAGCCGTGGAGGAAGTGGAGGAGGAGGAGGAGGAGGAGCGGGGGCGGGGCACACTGACCTTAACTCCAGGTGAGGAGCATGAGGGTGTGTTTAAGTGTGTGTGTGTGTGGAGGCGGTCTGTACTGTCAACAACGTTTCATATAGATAATAGTTTTAAGCAGAGGTGGATAAAAGTTTGTGTGTTTGTGAATGCATGTATGTGTGTATTTGCATGCATGTGTTTTCTGATGCATTGAAGGGATGTTGGAAAGTTGGAAATTCTGACTCAGAACAAAATTTGTGAACACAGAGTAGAACATTTTCAAGATGCAGTTTCGTGTTTCATCAACATGTGAACACAAAACCTGCCAGCTTGGAATTTACAACTTCCAACTTTGAATGTGTGTCTGTCGGCCTACTAACGTGTGGCGTGTGTATGTTTGCTTGCGAATTAACCTCTAAGCCTTTTCTAACAACAAGTAACCAAGTGTGATGAGCTTATCCCAACCTCTCAAAGCCTTTTAGAGCAGAAGTTGATCACTTTGTCCTGGAGGTGTAACTGAAATGTTTGTCGACTTTGTGTCGGAGAGAAGGAGGACTGAATAACTGACAGAGAAAGTTGGTTGATCTTAACATGGTAATTTAAGATAAGTGTGTAACGCGTTGTGCTCTTACAAGCCATGTCTGAGTCACTGATCCAGTGTGTGTGTGTGTGTGTGTGTGTGTGTGTGTGTGTGTGCATGTTGTGGGTGAGACCATACCTGTATGGTACAAGCTCATATGTACCCCTACATCACATATATATAATACCCTTATTTTGATTTTTCTCATATTTTTTAATGTTTCTAATTTTGCATTGTTCTTCATTTTCATTTCCTTGTGCTTGTTTCTCTCAATTTTCTTTTCTTTTTCATATGCTTTTGTATTTCACCCCTTCTGTACCATTTGCTTTGCTTGTAAGCATGACTTATATTTGAAATAAACAAAAAAAATGAAAAAGAAAAATCAAGTTTTTGCTGCAGCAGGTGTACAGTAAGTGTAAAGCACTCTTGAAGGATGATCGTCTTTGTGCAAGAATCCCATCTTCCTGTTTCAAGTTTGCCTCACAAGGTTTTCCAGTGAGCACGGGTCAAATCACGTCTTACACTTTTGGATGTGAAACAAATAATTAATGGACTGAGCTGTCACTACATTTTGTCTCCATTAGCTGACAAAAAGATTATTTTCCACTTCAATGAACTCACAACCTTGTATTGAAAAAAAACATTTAGCATTTATACTCCCTCTATTGTAAACGTAATCTCTTGCTCTCAAGCATGCACACACACATGTAAACACACACTCTCGCTGCAGTGGGGTTCGATATGTGGTCCGGGGTTCAATCTGTTCGCCTCAGGAAATCATTACAGCAAACAGCGCACAGCATGGGCTCAAATTTCCCCGCTTTCATTCCAAACTATCTAACCCTCGCTGGCTGCCTCTCCTTATTCTCTTTCTAGAGCTATTTCTTCTTATCTCACCAAGCTTCTTGTTTTTGATCTCATTTTCTTCCACGAATCTCTGTTTCATCACGCGCCACTTGTTTCCCTCATGCTGGGTTTTCTTTCTCACAAATTACAATGTTCATGTTACTCAAAGTCCTCCTCACTGGCCTCCCTCTACGTCTCCTCTGTCCCTCCTCCTCCAGCTATCATCCATCCTCTTTCTTTTCATACCTTTTGTCTCTCCTCTGGGGCCCAAAAAGCTGAGGCAGGGGTCAGTTTCAACCACTCACATCTCTCTTTTTCTTATGCCTGTGTGCCGGCAATAGCTGTGGCCGGAGGCATTATGTTTCCGCGTTGTCTGTTGGTCTGTACGTCCCATTATTGTGAACGCAATGTCTCAGGAACGCCTCGAGGGAATTTCTTCAGATTTGGCACAAACATCCACTTGGACTCAAAGATGAACTGAGTAGAATATGGTGGTCAAAGGTGACCTTACAAAACACATTTATGGCCATAACTCAAGAATTGATGCTGTAATTATGACAATTTCACACAGATGCTTAATGGGACATGAAGGGAACGATGAAGTGATGAGATTTTTTTCCCCAGGACATCATAATGTCCAAAAACACTTTCTGGCCATTATTCAACACCATAACTCAGGAACAGAAGGGGAGATTGTGACCATATTTTACAGTTGGTCGGACACTAAATTGTGACCTCATAATAGTTCTTTTAAAAATAATTGAAAAGACCAGTGTGTAGGATTTAGTGACATCTAGCGGTGAAGTTGCAGATTGCAACTAACTGAACACCCCTCCCGTCTGAATAGCTGGTAATGAGAACAGACTGTGAAGTGTGTAGGAGAAACTACGGTGGCCATTAAAATCAAGAAAAACACGAAAGGCCATATCTACAGCCAGTGTTTGGTCCCTTCGGTTGGACTCTATTGAAGGAGACCTGCAGTGTCTGTAGATAAAGTAAAAAAAAAAACACAATTCCTATATTCAGCTGATTATACACTAAGGAAAACATTCCCATGAATATTATACTCAATTTCTGCCAATAGATCCTCCTAAATGTCACACACTGGACTGTTAAGAATGAATTGGGGAATTCCAGATTTCACACACATGGTGACTGGGACGACACGATAAAACAATAAGTAGGACATTACGCACTTTCATCTTTTCCAACACCTCCATTCTTCCTTTCACTTACTGCCTCATTCTGAATTTAAAGCGACTCCAAACAAGGTACTGGAGCGGACCTTGTTAGTTGTGATACACCTACAGCTCATATAGCCGTTGCCTCTAAAAATGCCAGGAGAGAACAAAAGCACCACATTTTGTATAGCTATACTATAAGAATCCATCTTTATATACAGTACATGTTTATCTATTTAGCCAATACATCTATGATAATCCTTCATCAGTCAGTTCAAACATGTACATTCACAGAAATTAACTCTTTAAAGTCTTCAGTACATACATTATGAGTCTGGACAGACATGGATATAAACTGGAACTTAACTGGTTGGTACAGGCATACAACCGCGAGGCGGTAATTCTGGTTTCTCCATCTCTTCCTCTGTTTCACTCTTCACTCACTATTTCACCTTTCTTGTCTCCTCCGCTCCTCCTTCCCATATTATTTTGTGGTTTCTTTGGGCCTTTTAAATTGAGAAAGTGGACACACTCCTCCGTCGACCAGCAGCTCTGCCTGTGCGTCTACCATTAACCTGAGCAACAAGAACTCATTCGGCGGATAACACACAGCCAGGATTAATATTTCCTGCAGGGTAGCACCTCACTGAAATAGAAACACTCCGGCTGCATAAACACCCTCCCTCTGTGAGCCCATCTCAACAGATTACCGCTCCTCCTTGCGATTAAACAAATTTCACCAAGATTACAGCTTTACCGTTTCTGGACTGCTCTGCCTGCACGCTCATTTAGTTATTAGCACGCTGACATAAATCCCTGGTCCAAAAGTATACGTGCAACTAAGACCTCATGTACTTGCACGCACTTCATGAGGTGAAATACATAAATGTGTACATATGCCCACCCCTATTCGAGTTGGATATTGATGTGGCGAAGCTCAAAAAGCAACTTCTGCACTCTGCCATGCACCTGCTCTTTTTTTAAAACTCCTTTCTTTCCTTCCCACCGTCTTTTTCTTCGAGCAGAGGATGATTAACACTCTGAAATCCCACCAGTTCTTCCGAATCAGCTTTGAAAGTTAAAATCCAAAGTGATCCTCCTCTCAGATTACCCTCCTCCTGCGCACACATACACCTTCTAATACACGCCCCCCCACCCCACCTCTTCTTCCAACCAAACCAGGTTCAGTGTGTTTGCATGCTGCAATAATCTTCAGCCAACAAAAGGAACGGAGAGCGCCGCCTTAGGTCACACATGTCACGTCTAATGAAAGGCCTCAACCGGAGAGGGGCTGGCTTTACACCCAGAGAGTAAACAAACACAGATGACCTTCATGATATTACACACACACATACACACACACTTGCACTCACAGTGATTTATAGTTCAATTAACAACAAGAATGATAGTGGTGGCATTTAGGCTGCGTGAGTATGGTTCAGATCACCACAGTGCGAGGTCAGGATAGCCAGCAGGCGACATGAACTGCAATACAATTTTCAAGTGTGAGAGGCCAAAGAGCAACATGGTGGCAGCGGAGGTCACATGGTTCAAAGAAAGTGTGTGTGTAAATGTGGGCAAGTACATTAATGCGAGAGAGTCAGAGAGAGAGAGTGTGTGTGTGTGTGTGTGTGTGTGTGTGTGTGTGTGTGCGTGCGTGCGTGCGTGCGTGCGTGCGTGCGTGCGTGTGTGTGAATGTATGTATCTGGCCATTTGTGTGCCCCAGCACTCATGATGCTGTCAACAGGAAAACCTTGTATCTCCAATTATTAGACAAATATTCACAAACTTCTTGGTTTGGTAATGTCCAAAATTTCTCTTCTTGAAGCTAAAACTACTATGTTTTTTTAACCGCATCACACTACATGCATATAGATCTGCATGTGTGTCTGCATTGGCAGTTTATCTCCAGTCTGTGTGTGTGTGTGTGTGTGTGTGTGTGTGTGTGTGTGTGTGTGTGTGTGCAGTGCAGTGGGCTTTTTAGCCATCATGTTATGTAATGAAGGACACTGTCACTTAAAGGGTTTGACTGCTCTGCCCTGATTCAAGTCAGACAGATAAGCAATACTCAATATAGTGGGTGCAAACATATGGGCCACAATTGCACGCAACAAATGGGATCCCTTTTCCATTTCACCCTCTCTCTTTCTCTCTGAAACACACATCATAATGACACCAGGATATGGTGTTATGGATAATATATCAAGGGCATTTTGGGCCTGTTGATGTGATTTTAAGCGACAGTTTGGTCCTTTTGGGGAAAATGGTGCAATTCTATTGAGCTGGAAAATCATACTTTTGCACTGACTATACCCTTAAATATATCAGTTCAATGCATTCACTCACCACATCTTCAGGCTGTGTTTTCATATGGTGATTCCACTTTCTAATATGACATGCTTTATAAAGGTTAATTAATGCAACGTTTGGTCATAGGAAA